TAGCCGCGAAGCATAGGCTGACTCAGCGGGGCCAGTAGTGCATGGTTTGGTGAAACAGTGCACGCGAAGTTGGCGAAGCCCCGTTAGCAGTAACGGGCGAACAACAGCTACTACTGTACGCGATGTCGACGATCGCGGTAACAAATGTTGAGAAGATTCCTTACAAAGGGCATGTATATTTCGTTTGTACGTTCACAAGCTTTATCCCACTTGATCTGATTATCAAGACAACGTGTAAGTGTACTATAACAAACGAATGGGTGATTGTCTCCTTTGCCCACGGAGCTGGTTCGTCGATTAAATCGTAAGCACAGGCGAGAAAAACATTAAGAAGGAATTTTGGGGTTATTCAGCAAGTTGTTTTTGCAAGCATGCGATTCTGACGTGATATGATATTTTGCGGAAAGTCACTAAACAACGTGAGTGGATGATGGAGGAGGGCAGGGGGTTGTGTGAGTGATAATAGAATTGCACTAGCATTCTCACTACTTGCTGTATTCACAGAGAAGTTTGGTTAGAGTTTCACTAAGGAAATTGAGAAGAAATATATGTTACAATGTAAAATGCAAGTCGACATGGCTAGAATGGCATTGCAACACCTAGCAAGCCCTCTGCAAGGCGAACTATGCCAGCGCAAGAGAAGTCCGGCTTGTCAACGCTGCAGCAGGGCCGCTTGCCACCATTGCACCGCGACGGTCTACCATCACTACAGACGTAGATAAACTTCTGCGCATGTTCGCACTTACCAAGTAGGTGCAGGAAGACTGTTGTGGCGCCAGGCACATTGTGCGTGTCAGGCAGAATACGGGTCAACGGTTTTGCTAGCCATGCACCGTCGAGTATGTGATGCCATTTCGTAGATCGACTTCGCGACTCGTGAGCGGCATTAGTCCATGTGTGACGTTGGGCGACGAGCTCGCAGAGGACGCTGGTCGATGAGTTCGCAGAGGACGTTGGGAGCCCCGTCGAGGACGCTGGTAGACAAGCCCCGTCGAGGAGCATTGGTTGAGGGGCTCTACTCGACGGGCTCGTCTAGGCGAAAGCTGCTCGATCTAGCATTCGTTACAGAGTTGCGCGTCTGCAAAATCCGTCGTCGAGTGGGCGAATGCCGCAAAGGAGGTTTTCGCGAAGTCAACTTGCGTAACGACATCACGTGCTCGACGGTGCACGGCTGGCAAAACCGTCGACATGTGTTCTACTTGGCACCTGCGCTATGTGCCTGGCGGCGCGTCCGCCTACCTGCGCCTACTTGGTAGGTGCGCACATGCGCAGAAGTTCATTAGACTCTGCAGTGATGGCAGACCGTTGTGGTGCAACGCTGACAGACTTCTCTGCTGCAGCGTTGGCAAGCCGCTCTTCTGCTGCGCTTGCATAGTTCGCCTGCAGAGGCCTTGCTAGGTGTTGCAATGCCATTCTAGTCATATCGACTTGCATGCCTCATTGTAATCTAATGTTCTTTCAATTTCTTAGTGAAACTCTTGCAAAATTTCCTTGTGAACATAGCCAGTAGTGAGAACGCTAGTGTAACGCTACGATCACCTGCACAATCCCGCGCCCTATCGCGTAGTCCACTCACCTTGTGTAGTGACTCTCCGCAAGATCGCGTCAACCCCCACCAAATTTCGGGGATCGATCGTGGAGGAGATCGGTGTACAGAGTGTACATTGTTTTAACGACTTTAGCCAATCACAAGGCGTCTTACTTTCGCAAGTCTTCGACAATGTACAGTAAAATGGTCAATAAAATCGTGCCAGCAGTGGCTCGCGCGATCGACGTGCCTCCAGCTGGCGATCCGTCACACAATTGTGGCAATCGGCAATTTTGCCCCATAATGGCGCTGTTCTGTAGGCGTTAATGCTTCCGCATGAAATGTACGGGCAAGCCCTTCCAAGTAGCTTCTCGCCGCATTCAAATCCCAAATTTCTCAATTTGCTGGACGATGTTGCCACGTAGTCTCGTCAAATCTCTCAACCTCTCAAATTGCTGCCACGCACAACTTATACGCTGGCTGATTCTAGCTTTCGAGGTTGATTTGGGAGCGCACAACTTGTGCGGACATTTGCCTGGCGATGCAACGTCCTGGAACCTTCTTCCCGTTGAATTTGTGCGTCCCATAAGTGGTGTTCTGCAGGTCGAAGCGTTAAATTTGGCGCAAACAGGTTTGGCGAAACCTCTCGCATCACCAAACCTTGATAGGCAGAAGCCTACTTATCAACGAAAATTCCGCGGACCCTGCTTTTCGAAAATCAACGCTTACAGAACAGCGCCAATTTCTCTAACATTTTTTTTTTTTTTAGTGAAAGCTTACACAATACTGTACAAGCAAAACACTTCAGTCGTAACTGATGAACTGGGATTAGGCTGGCGAAAGTTTGCCTGGCCCTCCCCACAGCTTTACGGTGGCTTCACAAAGGTTCTCGGGTTCGACCAGATAGACTGAAATTCGCCTTGCCACTTCAGCCCCACCACCTCGCTGACACATATCCGCCGCATGACACGTGCCTCGTCCTCCGCCAAGTTCCACCTCGCCCTATCCTTCCTTGCCTTCCTGCTTGGTTCGCCACAGTAGATTCGTGCATGCTTGTTGAATTCGACATTGATCCTCCTGAGCACCTTCCGTGCCTGAAACCTCTTCACCTTTCGGAGCGACACATCACATCTTCCCAACCAAACCTGGTGCATCGCCACTGCAACCATTGTAGCCTCGGGAAAACCAGACTTCGTCTCCTCCTTCCCGAACACAAAATCTGCCAGCCTGTCAACCCGCCTTGCTGGCTGCATCATGCTGAACGCCGACTTGACAGCACGAGCCACTGGTGCCACACTCCTGCATTCCAGCAAACAGTGCTCCAGCGTCTCTTCCAGCCCACAGTTCGGGCATGCCACCCCGTCCTTCACAAACGGAACCCTCTCCCCCACTTGCAAGTTGAGGTTGTGCACATGTAGGAGCACATCTCTCTCCTTGGCCGGAACCACCAAAGAGTCCCGGACCTTCCTGCTCCTCTCCCAGTCAATTTTCCTGCCCGCCCGGGCCTCCCAGCTCAACCTCTTCCTTTCCACCGCTTCTACCCCTTTGCTCGGCTCCCTGAGCTCTCTTACTGGAACCACCACCTCCTCCTTGAATAGCGATGAGCTAAGCAGCCGAGCCCTAGGATCCCCAGCCTCCCGTACCGCCTGCTCTTGAGATAGTTTCACCGGTACCACACTGTCGCAGCACAGCACCAACCTTACATCCCACGACGTACGCTCTCCTTTGCCGCTGAGACCCCAAAGCTCCACCTTCCTGCCCATCTTGCCGCAAATCTTCCAGAGACACCTTTGCCCACTTGGTAGCCTGGTGCACACCACCAATGACTCTGCCGCGACCTCCTCTGCTGTCAGTGGCGCCAATAACCACTGCCGCCACCGCTCTGGTGCCGCGTTGAAAGCCTTCAGCGCCATCTCCGCCTCCTTGCTTCCGCCCAACTCCCTTACCAACGTCGCTTCCGGCTTAAGCGTCCTGGTGCCATCCCATTTCCTCAGCACCATGTCGCGCATTCGCCACGTTCTCAGCCTCTCAGTGCCCTTTTTGTCAGAATGTTATTATTGTCTAGCCTGTAGTGGGGTGCTCTATAGCGAGTACAACCCAGTTAGGGTTTGCTATATGTACCCCAACTGCTGCTAGTGAAACCCCTCTCCTTTCAATCATTCTTGCCTAGTTCTGTTGAAATGCTATCAGAGCAGGTCGACCCCCTTGGGTCGATCCTGTGGGTGGGCCCGCCACCTAACTGCTTCCGCTGCTATTCTGCTTCTCGCACGCCTCGGGCGCGCGCCGTCTTCTTCCTGCCGCGCGCTCCGCGCGCGGCGAAAAATTTTAGGGTTTTTCATCCCGCCGTGCGCTCAGGGCGTACGGCGGTTTTCTGCCCGCCGTGCGCCCCGAGGCGCGCGGCGGTTTCCTGCCCGTCGTGGCGCCCCCGGGGACCTGCGCGCTGCCCCCCGTCGTCCTCCTCCCGTCGCCTCGTCGCGGCGCCCTGGGGGCCCGCGCGTCCCCCCCCTCCCGTCGCCTCGTCGCGGCACCTTGGGGGCCCGCGCGCCGCCCCCTCCCGTCGCCTCGTCGCGGCGCCTAGGGGGCCCGCGCGCGGCCCCTCCCGTCGCCCGTCGAGCCGCCCTCGGGGGCCCGTGCGCGGCCCCCCTCCCGTCACCCGCCGTGGCGCCCTCGGGGGGCCCGCGCCCTGCTTCTTCGTGGCGCCCAAGAGCCACCCCGCTGCCTCCCTTTCCCTCCGTGCCCCGCCCCTGCTGTTTCCCGCGCTCCTGCCTGCGTTAGGGTTTGGGGGTGGCGGGCATGGGGGTGACCGGTGTGGGTAACCTGCGGCTCCTCCTCCTCCTCCGTCTCCCACTGCTGCAGCTGCCGCTGAGGGGGGTGGGTGTGTGGGAGCCGAGGGTTTAGGGTTTAAGGGGGGTGCCGTGGAAGTGGAGCTAGGGTGTCAGCAGGGGGTGTGTGAGAGGGGCGTGGGACGGTCGGGGGAGGTTGCGTGGAGGTAGCCGTCGTGACGCCAGCAGCGCCAGTAGTCCGGATGCCCTCGCGCGTTTCGGTAGCCCAGCGAGCCTGCTTCGCCAGTCGCCTGTGGGTCCGTTGCTCTTGTGTGTGCTCGTCGTAGCCGCGGAGCCAGATACTCCCGTAGTCCGGTGCCCTCGTGCGCTCGGTAGCCACTGTGCGCGCCGCTCCTGTTGCCCGTGTGTCTGCAGCTTCAGTCGGCGCCTTTCATCTTCTCGCCCTCACAGTTTCTCCTCCTCCTCACTTGCCCTCTATGATCACCTCTAGCTTTGCTTATAATTGTGAACTATTGCTATGCCTGCTCATTGTACTGATTACACCCCACTTTGGCTATGGGGGTGTGTCAGAATGTTATTATTGTCTAGCCTGTAGTGGGGTGCTCTATAGCGAGTACAACCCAGTTAGGGTTTGCTATATGTACCCCAACTGCTGCTAGTGAAACCCCTCTCCTTTCAATCATTCTTGCCTAGTTCTGTTGAAACTTTTGTCCACCGAACGAGGCACTACCGAGGTGAATGATGTGCCTGTTGTAACACAGAAATTCCTCTTCTGCTTCCCACCTCGACGCCACCTCTGGTACTGCCACCACCGTTGACTTTAAAAAGGTTTTACACAGCCGTGCCCACCTCCTGCTTTTAAACAAGCCTCCTCTCAGTACCGCCTTATGCGCGTACAGCGTCGCCCAACCAAGAGGCAAACCTGCCGCTTTCTCCGACAAACTTCTTCTTAGCGAGCATTCCTGCTGCAGCGCCAGACCCGCGCACCTCAACGCCACACTGTGAATTCTCCCCCTTGGATCTATCACCCCCAGTCCCCCTTGCTCCCTTGGCGTGTATATCAGGTCCCCACTCCAGAGCCTGAAGTGTCGTTCCGTGTCAGCGTGGTTACCGGACACGAAGTTTTCAATCAGCTTTTCTACCCTGCGCCATAACAGGTCGTCCGGCGGATACACCTGCGCTTGAAACAGGAAGATTGGCAGGACATAGCTGTTGATAACGGTCACGCGTGCTCCAGTAGTAAGATATTTAGTGCTCCACTTGCTCAGCTCCCCTGCCGCTCTGGCCAAAGCCTTTTCCCAGGTTGCTTCTACTTCCCCCCCTGGTGAAATCCATACTCCGAGAAGCCTCTCAACCTCATTTGCCCCCACCCACTTGTACTCCATATCCCCAGGTGCCTGTTGCCCCACGTTCCTCCCTATCGGCAGGACCGCAGACTTCCCCATATTCACCTTCAGCCCCGACACCTCCGCGTATTCTTGCAGCAGAACACCCGCATTCTTCAGCTGTTGCTCTCCCTCGAGCAACAAGGTCGTGTCATCCGCATACCCCACATATGACAGTCGGTCACAGCTTCCCTCCCCGATTCCCAGTCCCCTTTCCTCTGCTAGCCGGCTCAAAGGCTCCACCGCGCACAAGAAAAGGTACGGCGCCAGTGGGCAGCCCTGACGCACCCCCTTCTTCATCTCAATTTCCTCTCCCACCCAACCGTTAACACACAACCTTGTATGAACGTCACTGTGCAGGGCCTCTATCCACCGTACAAATCTTGGCGGAAAGCCCGACTTGGCGACCGTTTCCACCATGAAGCCCCTGCGTACTGAATCGTACGCCTTTTCGAAGTCAATCAGAAGAAGGTACCAGTCACGGTTTTCGTTCCGGCCTGCCTCAATCATATCGGCCACCATCGACAATGCATCCGTTAACCTCCTCCCAGGTAAGAAGCCATACTGCTCCTTTGAAATCACCTGTCCCAGCACCGCCTTCATTCTCGTCGCTACCACTTTGGCTAGAAGCTTGTACACCCCTGAAAGCAGTGTAATCAGCCTGTAATTCTTAATATCCGTCCCCGCACCTTTCTTGTGCAGCAATATTGTGACCGCCTCGTTTGCCACGTCTGGCAGCTTCCCTGATGCGGTAAACTCTCCTATCATCTTCATCACCGGCTCCCGCAGCAGCTCCCAATGCCGCTGGAAAAGCTCCTTGGGCAAACCGTCCCAACCTGGTGATTTATCGTTGGCCAACTCTTTGAGCGCCTGCTTAACCTCCTGCTCCGACCATTCCAACGTCAGACTTGCTGCGGCCACCTCGTCCAACGTCTTCCTCGGCGACCATTCCAATCTTGGCTCTGTACCACCTACCGGTACATCATCGAACACCTCCCTGAAATGACAGGTAGCCGCTTCCAGTATTTCCCTTGCCTCCGTGTGACTGGCCCCGTTCCTCACCAGCTCTTTAATCCCCGTCCTTGCCTTCCTACTCTTGACCGGCGCCGTCAGGAAACTTGTTGGCGCCTCCCCATCCAGCTGTACCTTGAGCCCGGACCTTAGCTGCAACAGATTCCTCCTCCCATCCCAATATCTTTGCAATATCGCTTCTCGACTGGACAGCAGGGCCTGCACCTCGTCATCATACGGGTCAGCCATCACCTTGTGCTGTAACTGCTCCACTTGCTCCTCCAGAACACCTCTCGTAAGCTTCACGCGCTTCCTCTCCTCTTTGTCATATCTTCTCAGCTGCGCAGTTAAACCCCTCATCAACCGGTCGAAGACACAGCGGCCTCCTTCACGGTGCCTTTTAACCACGTCCGCGACCACCTTCGCCACACCCGGCTGTTTCAACAGCCTTGCCGGGAAACGCCACAAACCCGGACCTGATTCACGCAGACCCCTCCACCCGAGTCTCAACCTCACCGCGAACTTATGGTCCGTGATCCCCTTCGGTACCTTCTTGTGCTTCACCCCCGTCACCAGGTGCAGCATGGACTGGGACACAAGCACCCTATCGATCCTCGAGCTGACCTTCGCCGACTTGCAATAAAACGTGAACTGCCTCTCATCCGGAAACAGCTCCCGAAACACATCCTTCGCGTGGAAACCCGCTAGCATCTGCATCATACGACCGTTATCACCCGTCACCCCCTGTCGGTTTGACTTATCCAGTATGGGGTCCTCAATCATGTTAAAATCCCCTGCCACCACAAGATCCTCCCCCCTTGGCAGGCTGTCCGTGACATCTTTGAAAGCGGTGCCCAGAAAACATCCCCTTGGTGACGGCTGCGCAGGAAAATACACCGCCAGCACCCGCAGAACCCTCGTCCCCCACCTCAGCCGCGCATGTAACAACCTCCCCGAGGAGTGATGCTGAACATCCTCGATTTGTACCCCATCCTTGAAACTCAGGACGGCCAAACCGCCCGCTCTGGTAGGTGCCGCCACCGTGGCCATGCTGTTGGGCCGCAACTCAGTCCAGAAATTGTGGTCCTCCGCTAACCTAGTGTCCGCCATTACTACTATATCTGCAGCTGTTCTGATCCATCGTTTGTGTTAGCCGGTTGGTGTTATCCATTAATCAACCTTTGTCGTTGCCCCCACGCATCCACAGGGCGATGAAACAGCAGCACTCAGTGACACATTACACTCAACGATACTGCGCATGATGAGACTCCTCCTACGACTAACTCCTCGTTGTGCCCACTCTCCTACCCAGCAGGCAAGCTGTCCCACCATCGCAGAGACGGGCCACTCCATCACATACCAAACTCCTCCTTCGCCGCGGTCAGATTGACCCCTGCCTTGGAACTGCGTGTCGCCAAGCCTGACACCAGACCATCGCAGTGGCGCTGGGAAACCACATGCTCGGCAGCCTGTACGAAGGTCACCCCAGGCGCCTTCTCGCAGTTTTCCTGGACGAAGATCCACTCCTCGCGATTCCCCCAGGTCGAAAACACGGCGGGGTCCTTCAGAATGAGCCTGGTCAGATCTGTGAGTCTGACTGAGGCGGTTGCACGTAGTTGACACATCCACAACGTTAGCACCGCAACACCATGGGAGCGACGAGCAGCAAATTAACAGATAAGTCAGAGACACCCCACCGCCATTACCATTGATTCCATGGACCCGTCCCAGCGACAGGCTCCAGTTGCTGATGTTGTTCTGTCTGTCCATCACGTACTCATCATGATACCTCGTCATGTGATACCCCGAGCAGTAAGCACAGTTTAACGAGGGGTAATGCATCAGCAGCTGCTTATCGTGAGAAGTCGGATCTTCAATCATATGCCTCCAACGATACTTATCCCCCGCATGCTGTTTGACCAAACCCTTGACCTTGTCAGTGTCCATCCCTGTAACAGGGTTTACCACGCGATGGAAGCAGCACCCTTCCTTAAAAGCCGACCGGCCGTGCTTCTCCAACTTCACCTTCACCAGCATGTCGCAGAGCATCTCCGGCGTGATCACTGCATCTACACCTTTGAACAACACTTCGACCAGCAGCGGGTCAGCCGCACATGCCTTCACATAAGCCAGGTCCACCGGGTGCTGCCAGTCCAGGTGAATCCGCTTCCCGTCAACACAGGCATGCACAATCCCATGCTTCCACACGAAGTTGGCGTCGCGAGCCCGATCGAAGGTAACCTGCAGCCTCCAGTATTGCTTCTTATTCAGGAACACCGCCGTCAGCTCCTGAAACTTCGTCGTTGCCTGTATCTCCATGTTCAGGTCTTTCTTCCACACATTGAAGAGCGCGCGAAGAGTCGCCTGCACCCGCGTGGTCTCCGGCTTAAAGGCGATCGGGATCACCAGGACAATCGCGAAGCGAATCCGCTGCGCAACTTCGCTCTTTGCCTGCGCGTCAACGTTCTTCCGGATCGCCACTGAGGTAGTCGTCGTCCTCTTCCTCATCAGCTCCCTTCGAGACAATGTTTGACGCCGCATCCTTCGCTGCTTGCAGGGTAGCACCAGTACCACCACTGGAACCATCCGGCTTAACACCAGGATCCGTAGACAACGGCTTCCCGCCACTGCTCGCGCTGAGCAAGTCACGAGCCGCCTCCCTGACTTCGTGTGCCGACTCAGCAGGCTGAAGAGCTTCCTTATCAGACTCCGTGAACAGGTCAGCCGTACGCTTGACAGCCGAAGAAGCTGAAGCATCCACAACCACCGTCACCTCCTTGGGCTTATCCAGGGTCCCTCCAGTATTAGTATCAGTGTTACGGACACCCCCATTTCTGGTCGTCATCCTGGACATAGTGCGATGATGACACGGCAGAAAACAAAAGCCTCTCTGAGGTAGAAGCCAATGTCTGAGCACAGCACATGCTCCATTGTTAGCAGTATTTGTAGGCTTAATCTTGAAACACCTAGAGCATGGCAGCCTTGAAAGTAATCTGCTCTCGTAATCTTGCTGATCATAAGCAACCAATGATAGTAGGATTAGAAATCCACGTTGGTACCCTTGTTGTCGATTGAGCGAACAGGTGGAACACCTAGACAATAACGCGCTGGACAGCCATGGAGATTCCCGTGAGACCTTGAAGTTAGTAACTGACAATGAAACAGAACCCCATAATGCTCCAGGTACAATGTCCGTCAGTTGGACACAAGAAGTGTACCAGCAGCTTCGTAACAACGAGGCGATTCCGAATCTATTATCAAGGTTACCAACTGACACGTGGTCTTCACGAAAGCACTTTAAAGCCATCAGGCGGAAGCCATGGCGGAGCTGTCATTGTCATTGTCAATTTCTCTATCAATGTCACATTGGGCTGGATGGAGCCCCGCGATGGCAATTTTGCAGTTGATGAACACCGTTGTGGCGATCTAGCCTGTCACGGTCGCTGTTCAACGATCCCCTCCGATCTTGCTATTTTGGTGGGAGTTGGCGCGTCCTAACTTAGCGCGCGTTGTTTGGAAATCAAATTTGCTAGAGAGCCTACCGAAACGCAAATAACTGTAAACAAACCGTTCTACCATGCACAGAATCCCATTCCACCGTAAGCAAACAGGTTCACATGACATGCCCGGCTCTCGCAAGACTTATTTTCAACTCCCCTCCCCTGGCACGTTCATTTGAGAAACCGTTCCGATTCGGCAACGAAAAAACTGTTACATCAACCGTGTCGCACAGAGAGGTGCTCGTCCAAACCGCTCAAGAACCGCTTCCCCGTCTGATCCGCAAGCATAGCAACCAAAAACGAACCTGATCTGAACTAAACTGAGCCGAACGGGAGCCTGGCACCTCGTGGTAACCGAGGCAACTCATATTGGAGGAAGGGTCAGTATGTTTTGCCGTGTGCTGCTGTCAGACGACTTGTGCATGCTTCTCTCCCACTAACCTAAGCACCTAGGTGGTCACAGATCCTCTCACACAGATGAGGAAAAACTGTTTTATTCTTCATTTACCCTAACTCTTAGTACGTCGACGATCTCAAATACCTGCTTTGTTGATCGTCGACGTTCCTTCGTGCCGTTTGATCTTCTGTGCAGTTGAAGTATTAACGCCACGTTCAGATTTCTGTGTGGGTCATTCAAGCAATTTCTTTCAGCGCATGACCAACTATGGGACTCGATCGTTGTTTCGCGATATCAGCTAGCCGAGCTGTCGCCGCCACCAACTCGTCTGCGACAACCATTTCAGCCTCCCTCTCCTTTCTCTCCTCGTCCTCCTCAACCCAACATCCTTGTTCCGCTGCCTCACCCGCGGCGTCGGTCTCCCAATCGACAGCTACCACGTGTTGCAACGTGCAGCTGCCAGTCAGAGCAGCGTCCCTCTCGGTAACGTCGGGTCTTCACCAGGACGCGCTACTGTTCTCTCCGCCCCCTTCCGCCAACGTCACTTCATGGGGATCCGCTGTCGTCTCCTCGCCTCCATCACGACTTCCCAGCAGATACGCCAGCCGTGCGTCGTTTGGGGGCCAATCATGTGCAGGTTCTGATTGCTTCAGCGCCGCAGCAGCAGCGTCGTTTCCGAACCGGACTGCCGCTTTGTGGAGCCGATGCCGAACGAAAAGACCAGGTTCGCCCAACTCGCGGTCTGCAGGGTTTAGCGTCTCTTGCCACACAGCATTTTTGAAGGGCGTTCGACCTTCTCTGGGATGCTGTCACGTGGTTGAATCGCCCGCTGTTGCCAGGAAGAGGCGGATTCGCTTTAGGGTAGCCGCGACCGCTTCCAACGGTGTTGCTGCGCACCTCCCCGCGTCGTCCCCTTCATCCCGCTCCTCCGCCAACCCCGAATCCACGTCCGCGGGGCACGCAGGCGCGGAAGGAGGATCGCGGAAGGGGATAGTTGATGGCGGCGGGGGCCTCGTAGGCGGGCGGGAAGAGGGCGTGAGAGGCGTGGAAGTAGACGGGGCGGGCGGGGGGGAGGGAGGGGACGGGGGGTTCACGGGAGTGCTGAGGGAGGTGCAAGAGGGCGATCTGGACGTGCTGTTGAGTACTCTAGAGGATCGCTTCGGGGCCGAGATGCGCGGCCTGGGTAGCGCCACGCGCGCTAGCGGCAGCGGCGGCAGCAGCAGTGACGGAAGCGCGGCGGCTGCAGCCGCGGTGAAGGCGAACGCGCACGCGCTGCTGTCCGTCGGCGCAAAGCGCGGGCAAATAGTCCGCCTGTTTCGCGCGCAGCCGGAGCTGATTTACCGGGACGTGGGCGCCGCGGCGGCAGACATGGCGGTGTTGCTGTCGTCGTTTAGAATCACGCCCCCCGCTATGCTTAAGGGCATCGCGCAATCCGTGGACTGGCTGGGCACGCCCGCAAGCCACGCACAGTGCGTGCTGCAGTTTTTAGATCGCGATCTGGGGGTGAACAACCTAGCGAGGGTCATCTCCGTGTCGCCGCACGTCCTCACGCAGTCAGTTGAAACCCTAGAGGACACCGCCGCCTTCCTCCGCACGGAGCTCCGCCTCGGCGCGGATGTGGGTATGGCGCTCGAGCGCAACCCCGCCCTGCTGGGGGGAGTCGGCGGAAGAGTGGTGGCGGACGGGGAATTGAGCGGGGCGGAGGCTGTTGCTGCGGGGGCGGGTTTTGGGTTTGGGCGGTCGGACGTTTCCGCGAAGCTGGAGGCGCTGCGGCGGTTGCTGAAACTACGGAGAGCGATTGACGTGCTTCCGCTCGTCGAGCACTTCCCGCCGCTGCTCCTCGCGCCCGCGGGCACCGCAGAAGCCACCTACGCGCAGCTGGAGGCGCTCCTAGGTCCCGCGAGCGCCGCACTTGTCGCCGGCGCGCGCCCCCAGGTCCTTGCGCTGCCCGCGCAGGCGATACGGGAGCCAATTGTGCAGCTGATCAGGCGGTTTGAGGGGAAAGAGGCGGCGGCGGCGGTAATTGCGGCGGCGAACCCGTCGCTGCTGCGGCGGAAGTGGGACAAGACGGCGGGGAAGATAGAGTATATCACGGGGGTGATGGGGAGGGATCTAGGGGAGATCGCGGAGTGGCCCGCGGTGCTGTCATGCAACCTGACGGGGCGCATCAAGAGGCGGTACGAGGCGCTGAGCGGCGTGGGCGGGGGGCGGGGGGAGACCCTGCGCGCCATGCTGGGGTGCAGCGACCGCGTCTTTGAGCGCCGCTTCCGCGTGGCGCTACCTGCGCCAGTCAAGGGGAAGAGGTGAGCGCAAGGAGTAGGGGAGGTATTGGGGAAAGTGCTGGTGGGGCGTGCTTAGTGAGGGAACGATCAGGGGGGTGAAAGGAGCTTGGCAGAGAATGGTAGAAAGTAGCAGCGTGGATTAGCATTGGAGTGATCATTCAAAGGGGATGTCATGTGGGAGTGGGACACGCAGTGGTGGTGATGACGTGTACAACAGGCAGGCATGCCGCTCACACATGGTTTCTGCCTTGGGGTTTTTGTAGTCAAGGGCGGGTGTTCTGCTACCATAGCATCATGCATGAGTGCGAGCAAGCACCTGGTATTCGCACTGGACGTGGTTTGCCTGCAGTTGCAACACGTGGATGTTCCGCTTCTTCTGCAGTTTCCGCAATGCTTCTTACGAGCTGGTGGCCAAAGCGTCAGATCTTTACAGTTCCAGCACACAACGCTGGATTATCAGTTGCAAATGTTAACTTTGTGCTGGGCTGCGTGGTGAAAGACCACTTGCAGTGAAACAGGCAGCATTCCGAGTTGATATATTACAACAGCATTACTACCTTAGGCATGCTCGTGTGAACCCCTGGTCATAGTTGGAAGTCCTCTTCCATGCATACACGTCCCAGCCTCATACTCTTCCATCTCCTGCCTCTCTTCTTAGCCAACTGTACAAGTCTGCACACATGCATGGTCTCCCCACTTATCACCGTATGAGCCATGCTTGCTACTGCTCGTGGGCTGTCTCTCACCCCTTAGTGTTCCCCCGGTCCCTCCCCTCCTTATTTGTCTCCTTCGCATGGCCGGTGAACCCGCTGCTGATTGCAGGGGAAGGAAGCCCAAAGCAGCCGCACCATCATCATGACACACATGGGTCGTGCGTGCACGTGGTAGGGGTGCAGGCCATGAGAATGAAGCGCTGCCAGACATCTCTCTCACTCCCCCCGCTCACCAACCCCCATTTTATCTCGCTCCCGCTGCCTCACTTTCTCTCACCCCTCCCCCTATCTGCCTCCGCCTCCTCGTCGTCCCATTCCCTGTCTGCCCTCTTTTCATTGCCACTTGCAATGTTGCTATCCTTTGAAGCAAAACTTTTCCAGGGCTTGTAGTTACCCCCGTCTCACTGTGCGACTAGTTGTCCCGGAAGCTCACATGATGATTCACAAGCGGTACCTTTGTTTCTAGAGAGTTTGTCCTATCGCTTTGTTGCCAAGCGCCATTACCTGCATGAAATTTCGCATGGACACTGGCCTTTTGCTGATGCTGCTGTTCTGTCTGTGCGCTTGTCATTCTCCCTTGATATTCTTGAACTGTAGGTCCAAGAGGCACATGGGTTTGACGATTGTGTGTCGTGTTAGGGCTACCATAACACACACATGAATTTGCCAAATTTATAACAGTGACATCATAAAGAGCTGAATGATATTGATGTACTTTGGGGCATAGAGAGAGTGGCTCTTGTATATTTTTCGATTTTAATCAGCGCATCTGATCCTTCGTATTTCGGTTGTTGCATCGTTCAGGCTTGTAGCAAATAACAGGTTGTACAGTAATCACAGGTTGCATGTTGAAGCAAGTCCTGTCTCCCTCACGTGCAGTAGTTATCCCCTCCCCATTCACCCACCTACCCCCAACCCAGAGCCCCGCCTGACAGTTCTGGTCTGCTGCTCGTCGCTTCCTTTTCCCCCACCCACCCAACCACTTCTCCCATATCTAGGGAGTTTCAGAATCTCTCTTCAACCCGATGCCATTTCGAGGCATCAAGCTGATGGTACCAGCGCCCGAACGTGATTCGATTCATTGTAGCCTCCATGGCGCTTTCTCCAGGGAGTCGACGTTGTAGCGGTTGTCGAGTTTCTTGACCAACGACGACTGGTTTCCTCGTTCTTATCACGATACAATATATTAAAGCGAGTTGCCAGTTGGCTTCATCCCGACGGCCCATGTGGCAAGTATCATTTCCGGCATAACTTCTCCCGCCCATATTCTATCACTCCCCTGCCAAATCGTCGCGGGCTGGCGCTTCTGGAATCGCTCTAGCCCAACTCGCGTCGATCCCAATGAAACCCCGCAGAAGGGCCACGCAGCGCGCCCCGCGGAAGCAGCCACCTGGCGCGGACGGCGCGGGCCGCCGCTGCGGAGGATGCGTGCTGTTCATCGTGATCGCGACCATCTGCGTGCTCGTCTGGGCGTCCACCAACCAATCCGGCGGCGCTGGCGCTGCGCTCATCGAGTCCATTAAACAGCGGCACGCGAGCCTACGAGGAGATGCGCAAACTGCTGGATCCGCGGCGGGGAATGCGGCGGCGAAGGAGGCGGCAAACGAGGAGTCGGCATTTGCGTCAACAATCCCGACGTTCTCTCTTTCCGCCGGCAGCGGTTCCGACGACGGGGAGAGCGCGCCCGAAGGAACCGCTGGGGGGCCTGGGGGGGAGGACCCGGGGGAGGATCGCGAGGGGGAAGGGCAGTTCGGCGTGCCGCGTGATCTGGCGGACGTGAGCTTGATTAAAGAAGGGCGACTGAGCGCGGCGCGAGGCACGGAAGAGGCGAGCGAGAGAGGATCGAGAATGGCAACAGCAGGGGCGCGCATGGGCGCGGGCAAGGGGAACGAGCGGCCCATCACTACGGCCACGGATCTCGAGCCGTCCGCAGCCAAGGCGCTCGAGGACGCCGCCGCTGCGGCGGCAGCGGCGGCTGCCGCCGGTGCGGGAGTAGGCGGAGGCGAGGCGGAGGAGGAAGAAGCGGGAGACGCCGTGACGGCGGTGGTGAAGGGAGCTGGTGCCGCCGCAGGTGGCGCGGAAGCGGATGAGGAGAGCGCGGATGAGGGCAAGGCGGCTCCGCGGAAGCGGCAGAAGCCCCCGCGTGAGGGGCCTAACGCCAAATGGGGTCCCGTTAACGGGTCGTTCGATATAGATTTAAGGAAACCCAAGCACCGACCTCTCATGGTGACGCTATCCCGCAAGTCCATGAAGCACGTGTTCCTAGATGCGACGCGGTTCGGAAAGGAAGGCGCGGATAAAATGGATCCGCCTCTGGAGGTGACACGTGGCTCGCTGTGCCCCGAGTTCGAGCACTCGTACGAGAATTACCCGGGAATCGCGTCGTGCTGGCACGGCCCGCCGCTAGAGGACGTGGCGCAGGTGCCCGCGTCGCAGCCCGTGAATTGCGGGAGTCTGAACCCGAGCTGCGTGCAGGACATGGACTTCCAGCCGCACGAAAAGTGGTCTGCGCAGGTGCGTCGCTGGCAAGCGTGCGGGCGGGTGCATGACTTGATGCTGGCTGTTGAAAAATGAGACCACAAGCGCTGCCAGGCACACCAATCCACAACGCAATCTCTGAGAGCCGCGTGGAAACCAATGCAATACCATACACAGCCCACTCGTGAGTGAAAGAATCCGTGCATGTTGCCCGCTTCCCGCCACCGCTGCACCCCTGGGTCACTACCCTCGTGTACCCGGCCCCCCTGCCATGCCCCGCTCTTCCACTACCCTGCCTCCTCTTCCATTCGCCCCCTACAAACCTTTCCCTTTCCCCTTCCCCCGTCCCCCTGGGCAGGTGGTGGTGCTGCACAACGTGTACGTGAACGTGGCGGGGCAGGTGTTCAACCGCACGCACCTCTTCGACGACAACAGCTGCGCCGCCGACCGCCCCTTCCACTACGCCGCGGGCGCCGCCACCACCGTGCACCGGTACCGGCACCTGGTGTCGCTGGTGGACTGGTTCGCGTGGAGCCCGCGCTCCTTCCTGCTCGACGTGCTGCCGCTCTTCGTCTCCCTCGACGCCGTGCTGCCCGCCATGCGCCGCGTGCCCGTGGCGTTCGGCCACCGGCAGCAGCACGCGCTGAGCCAGGCGCAGCAGATGAGCGCGTACGGCGCGACGGAGCTGCTGGGCGTGCGCGTGGACAAGCTCAACCCGCACGTGCTCAAAGAGGGCGACCTCTTCTTCGCCGACCGCCTCGTACTCGTACGTGCTGGGGGTGCCGCTGGGGGAGGGCGAGGGAGAGGGAGGGAAGGAGGAGGGGGGGAAGGGGTTTATGGGAGGGATGCTATGGTGGGGTGGGAAGGGTTTGGGGATTGGCATGGGGGAGTGGCTGGTTGCTGAGGGTGAAGGTGGCGTTGCGTGTGTAGCAAGCACAGCTCACCATAGAACGAACATGTCAAGCTAGCTTCACGTCGCCCCACAACGAGCCATCATCGTATGCTGGGGGAGGGAAAGAAAATCAATGCGCTCAAGGGGAGGCTGAAGCAGCACACAACGAGCAGGCAGGCCTGTGCAGTGCACGTTCTCTTGTATTATGACTGTGAGGCGAAAACCCTAAACCCTGGTTGAGACCGCTTGAGGTAACACCATGTCCTGATGTTCTACTGCTGTGCCCCGGTTGAAATCTGTTCCAATTCCAATTATGCCCACGCCCCTACTCTCCTTTAGTCCCTTCTCCCCTAATCACACCGCTCTTCCACTAGCAGCACGGCTACCAACCAGCCTTGCTGCACCTCTGCCCTTGCTCCCTCACCCACCACCCCCTCAACCCCCACCACCCCCTTCCGCTCCCCCCTCCCTCACCGTCTCCGTTCTCCATCCCCCCTCCATTCATCCCTCTTGTCTCATCTCCGTGCTCCCCATCCCGACCCCTAATTCCATCCCTCCCCGTTCACCCCCACTTTCCCCCGTGCCCAGCCGCTGAGGCAGCGGTGTGGGCGGCCGAGCAAGGCGATGTGGGGGTACCTGCGCGCGCGCCACCTGCTGCCCAAGGCGGGCCTGCCCATGTACCGCCACGGTGAGCCCCCGCGCCCCTGCCCCTGCCTATGCCATGCCATGCTTGTGTTGTAGCCAAGAGATGGGCAAGAGAGGGGGCGGTGGGAGACGGACCGGGATTGGGGCAGAGAGGAGGGGAAAGTGCGGGAGAGACAGAAATGAGGCTCTGGTTTGGGGAAAGAATGGGTGGATGGTGAGAGGGAGCGGAAGAGCAGCGTGGTTGTGAGAGCAGTGCGTAGTATCTGCAGGCGACATGCTGGTCGCAGGGAAACAAGG